GAGGGAGGGAGGGAGGGAGGGAGGGAAGGGAAGGAAGGAAGGAAGGAAGGGAAGGAGGGAAGGAAGGGAAGGAAGGAAGGAAGGTACTCATTACCTGGCTTATGTAACTGTAACTACTCTGTACATCACTTTTATAATAACAATAAAAAATAAAAATTTTTAAGGCCATTGCTATGTTAATCATAATTTTTTTTAATTCCTTGTTTGATAATTCCAGCATTCTGGCCATGTCTGACTCTGGTTTGTATGCTTGTTCAATGCTTTCAAATTTTGTCCTTTGCAACATAGCTAGGGAATAAATAGAAAACCCATAGAATGGGAGACATTTTTTACTAACTGTTCATCAGACAAAGGCTTCATATCTAAAATATACTTAGAAGCTCAAAAAAATTAGACCTCCCAAAAACAAATCTTCAAAGAAACAACAACCTAATTAATAAGTGAGCTAAAGACTTAGAGAGACTTCTCTAGAGAAGAAATAGGAATGGCCAGTAAACACATGAAGAGATGTTCAACATCTCTGGCCAAAAAAGAAATGCAAACCAAAACAACACTGAGATTCCACTTCACCCCAGTTAAAATGGCCATTTTCATAACAGATGCTGGCAGACATGAGGTCAAAAGGGAATGCTATTATACTGTTCGTAGGAATGTAAACTTCTTCAACCACTCTGGAAAGCAGTGTGGAGGTTCCTCAAAACACTAAACACAGAGCTTCCCTATGACACACAATCCCACTCCTGAGCATTTATCTAATTGACCACAAACCAGTCCACACTAAAGCTACCAGCACAACTATGTTAACTGCAGCATTGTTTACCATAGCTAAGATATAGAATCAATCCAAATGCCCCTCAGTGGACGGATGGATCAAGAAAATGTGGTATATATACACAATAGAATTCTATGCTTCCATCAGAAGGAATGGCATTACCCCCATTCATAAGGAAATGGAAAGTCTTGGAAAAAATTATACTAAGCAAAGTAAGCTAGACCCAGGAAACATAGGTTGCCTGGTTTCCCTCATGTGTAATAATTAGAATGTGCCTATAAATCCCTGAGTAAACCCAATGGACAATAAAAGACAAAAAATTACACTTGGACATGATTAATTAAACAGGACTCTAACCATTCAAACAGTAAGACAAAAGGAGGATATTCTTAGAAGAGGATCACAAAGGCTCAATAGCTATGTGTACATCATCATATAAAATGTGCTTATCAAAATGTACCCCAAGAAATGGAAGCAAGAGATTTTTATTGTTCTATTTGTGGTTCTTTTTTCTTTCCTTTTTTCTTTGGTTTATTCCCTTTTGTCGCTGTTTTAGATTTCTGTATCCTATTTCTGTATCTTTTTTTTATTGTGAAAATACCTTACAGAGGGGTTACAATTACATGGGCAAGGTAATGAGTACATTTCTTATCAAGCATTGTTGCCTCCTCCCTTGTTTCCCCTTCCCATCCCTTCCTATCTCCCATCCCAACAACACCCCTCCTCACCAAAATTGTAAAGTTTGTTTTTTTACTTGTACATCTCATTGTTGCAATGGGTCCTTATATGTAAGTTTGATTTGGGGAGGGGAAGAGGAAGCACAGACATGGTGGGACAAAGGGCAAACCAATTCAACAGTGACACTCACTAGACGCTATGTTGGAAATGACTAGACAACCACTTGTGGGGGAAGGGAGGGAAAAAACTGGAAGAGAATAAGGGAAGGAAATGTACACATTACCTAACTTATGTAACTAACCCCTCTGTACAACACCTTTACTATACATTTTGTTTCCTGTAATCAAAGAAATACCTATTTATTTTTGAGATTAAGTGATTACATAAATTTTACAGTATTGTGGGACAGTGATACTTAGCTAAAGTCACAAACACATTTTAACCTTCACAAGGCAAATTGTCATTATCTTGGTCTATAAAGCTTATGAACTCTATGAACTTGACAAATAGACCTATTTCTTCCAAATTAGGTGATATGTACATTGCTTTCGCTTTGCTTAGTGTAAACTGTTTAACATTTTTTTAAATTGTCTTTGCCTCTTACTATACTTAGTAATTGTTTTCACTGAAAGGTAGATATGTATACTAGATATAAGGAGCTGGGGTGAATAGGCCTTTAGTAATAAAGTGGTAAGGTGTTAGGAAGGGAAGCATTGTATGATGCTTTTGATGAACTTGTACCACTATGCTTTTTTCCAGTTTTTTCCCATTCCCCTTAGGTGGGCCAAATATTCAGTGGAGGAAGCTGGAGTTTGGTATTTACCCTTCTCCAACGAATATTTGGTTCTGATATGACCCTACAAGTTAGGCTTTTATAAAATAGCTTTCCTGAAGACAGGCCACACCAGGAATAAGAGACAGCTAAGGCATACTCGAAAATGGTTCTTTTCCCTCCCACTGCTTGAAATACAGGAGGTTTCTGTTTTGTTGATCTGTATGATCAAGGCAATCACAGTCAAAATACTAATGAACTATTTTGTAGATACTAATACTAGTTCTAAGTTTATACAGAGAGGGTAATAAAATAGTCAATTCAACATTATAAAAGAACCAAGTTGCAGAATTGATACTATATAACTTCAAGGCTTATTATAAAATGCAAGTAATCAAGACAGTGTGAGGTAAAAAACCATAGCTGAAAAGTCTATAGGTAGAATATGATGAGGGCTTGGTTGATTCACAGACTCAATAATGTCATAGGATAAGTAACCCTTGAAAAATTCTTTTGCTAGTATTGATGCCACCAATCCTAAATAAGTTCTTCTCACTTTTTTCCCCAAGGCCTCCCTGGTATCATGGTCTTAACTACTTATGCCTCCTACATTACTGGATCACAGGGGCACATCACCATTCTTGACCAGTTGAGATGAAGGTCTAACAAATTTTTTATCTGCACTGGCTTCAAACCAAAATCCACCCAATCTCCACCTCCAATATGGCTATGGTTGTAGATTCTGAGCCACTGAATCTGGCTAAAAAATAGGTAACTTTATGTAACAATAATATGCCATTTACATGTCAAGCTCCTCTCTTTTGGATTCTCTCATGGTTGTTGGAAAAAGCTTCTATGGGTTACTTCTTTTTTGTTTTGTCTTTTTTTTTTTTTTTTTTGGCCGTAGGGTTTGAACTCTGGGCCTGGGCACTGTCCCTCAGCTCTTCAGTTCAAGGCAAGTGCTCTACCATTTGAGCCACAGCCCCACTTCCATTTTTCTGGTGATTTATTGGCGATAAGAGTATCCCAGCTTTCCTCTCAGGGCTTGCTTTGAACCATGATCCTCAGATCTCAGCCTCCTGAGTAGATAGGATTACAGGCTTGAGCACCTAGCTGACATTTTTCTTTATTTATAACCACTAAGGCTACTTGTCCATTCTTGAACCAGTGACTATGGGGAGATAAAAAAGAAATGTCATGGACTTCTGCTTAAATGAAGAGGCACCAAAATAAAGTAGGAAGAATGTTAAGAGGAGAAAAAGGGATGCTGGTGCACAGTATGTAACCAATGCATTCTTCTTCAGGATGCAACTTTTTTCTATTTTCAAATATGCTAAACGCTTTCCTGCCTCAACACATTGAATATATTGTTGTTCTTGTCTAAAACTATTATCTTCTGTCCTCCACTTTATCCCCAATCCAATAGTCATCACATTCCAATTTTTTCTTCAGTTCATTTATACAGTTTTAAATTATTTTTATATGTATGCTTGTTTTATTCCAAACTCCCCTACTGAACAACAGTAGAAATATGTTTTATTTTCTTCATAGTTCTATCCTAGTCTATATAGTGCACTTTTGTGTGTGTGTGGCACACAGTAAATACTGAATTAATGTCTGAATGATACTAACAGTGAATTCTTGTTGATTGCTCATATTGCTATAAAAATTCATCCCACAGATAAGTCAAAAGAAACAATACATGGATTTGAACAAATTCAGTGATTATATTCACTAGAGTCATACCTCAAACTTTATGAATCTACATTTATCTTTGTATCAGTAATATCAACCCAGCATTTTTGTGATATTCCATAGAACTAATTATTTTAAACTATATTTTATTTATTTGTATAAAGTTTTATAAGTTATACCTTTTTTAAGCTGCATAGTTCAGATTCTAGTTTTTCATTTAAAATTGAAAGTTGTTTATTTAATTGTATTGCTTCCTGTACTGTAATAAAAAATCCAAGAAAATATTATATTAATTGTACATTTCAAAAAGTATCACTGACATAACAGAAACATTGTCCCAATGTAATATATAACTATGACTTGATTTAATACTAGTATCAGATAAGTTCAATTTATTCATGAGAGTTCCAATTAAATGTTCTCCCCTGAACATGTAAGTTTAAACGAGAGTACCTACCATTTTGTTCTAACTTTACATGATCCTCTTTCACCAATCCAAATTGACTTGTTATTGCCACGCAGTATTTCTCAATTTCATTCCACTGTTTATGATGATCTTCTTTAGCCAAAAGATTTAATTGGACCTTTTGTTCCTAGTTGGCAGAACAATTTTAAAGTCATTTTTTCTTTATCTCTCCCTCTCTCTCTCCTTCCTGCCCCCCTCTATCTCCCTCTCTCTCTCTCCATCTCTCTCTCACACACACAAACATACACAGAAACACAGAAAATATGTAAATATATAGTGGTAAACAACTGCTTCTTGTTAATATGTCAAAAATAAATGTCATAAAAAGCATTCTCTGAAGATCCACCATAGTAGGGAGAAAATATTTATTAGGAGATATTTCTTAATCTATGTAAAACAATTTTCTTTCTACAATGAAACAATCATTTCAGGTTAGGTTACACTTGTTTTCAATTTATTTCTCAAATTCAAACTGCTTTATTTATAAAAAGTTTATCAGTGTCTGGCACTTATGGCTCATGCCTCTAATCCCAGAAACTCAGCATTATGGATCCAAAGGATCACTGTTCTAGACTGGCTTAGGCAGAAAAGTCTTAAGACTTCATCTCAAATATAACCAGCTTAAGAGTTGAACTGGACATGTTCAAGTAGTGAGCATCAGACAAGTCATACTAGGAACTGAGTTCAAACCCTGGCAGAGTAGGGGTGCAGAAGAAGGGTAGAAAAGATAATCTGTCTAGCACTAAATAAAATGCAGTGGTAAGAGTAGTATTTAAAATATTCGTTTTATTTTTTCTTTCCCTAAATGATTTTAAAATTAGGACTTGGATTCTTGTTTTAATTCTTTGTCCTTTCTATTTGAAACATAGGGTTATCAAAATTGAAATTTCTCACAGAGTAATTTTAATGATATAATTTAATGTAATTTCATTACATATTTTTAAATGGGATAAAAGGACAGTATTTCTCAATGACCACAATAGAAAATCTACTTCAGGAGCCAGGCACTGGTGGCTCACGCCTGTATTCCTAGCTACTGAGGAGGCTGAGATCTGAGGACTGCAGTTCAAAGCCAGCCCGGGCAGGAAAGTCCATAAGACTCTTATCTCCAATTAACTATTCAGAAAAAGTGAGAAGTGGTGCTGTGACTAGCCTTGAACACAAAGAAGATCAGGGACAGTGTCTGGGCCCTGAGTGTAAGCCCAGGACTGGCGAAGAAAGGAAGAAAGGAAGAGATGGAGAGAGGGAGGGGGAAGGAGAGGGGGGAGGAGGAGAGGGAGGGAGGGAAGGAGGGAGGGAGAGGGAGACAGACAGAGACAGAAAGAGAAGAAAGAAGAGAGAAGTGGGAGAATCTACTTCAGTTAGACGTAATTGGTTAAAAAAAATTAAGCCCTATTTAAAATAAAAGTCTCAGGCTGGGAAGGTGGCTCAGTGGTAGAGCACACGCCTTGCATGCTTGAGGCCCTGGGTTCGATTCCTCAGCACCACATAAGCAGGAAAAAAAAGCCGGAAGTGGCGCTGTGGCTCAAGTGGTAGAGTGCTAGCCTTGAGCTAAAGAGCTGAGGGACAGAGCCCAGGCCCAGAGATCAGGCCTCACAAATGGACCCAAAAATAAATTAATAAATAAATAAATAAAATAAAGGTCTCTACTGTTTTCAGCTAAGAGGGCTTCTACCATGTTTAGAAAGAAATGGCAACAGATGGGCCTGAAAGGTAGTTCAGTGGTAGAGCGCTTGCTTTGCATGCCTGAGGCCCTGGGTTCGATTCCTCAGCACCACATAATCAAAAAAAAAAGCCGGAAGTGGTGTTGTGGCTCAAGTGGTAGAGCCCTAGTCTTGAGCTGAAGAGCCCAGGCCGAGAGTTCAGGCCCCACGACCGGACCCCCCCAAAAAAGAAAGAAAAGTTTTTTATATTGACCTGACATTAATTGGCTTCACTTAAAAAAAAAAAAAAACTGTTTCTGGGCTGGGAATGTAGCTTAGTGGTAGAGTGTTTGCCCAGCATGCATGAAGCCCTCAGTAACCCCATAAACAGAAAAAGCTAGAAGTGGCACTGTGGCTCAAGTAGTAGAGTGCTAGCCTTGAGCAAAAGCAGCTCAGGGACAGTGCCTAGGCCCTGAGTTCAAGCCCCAGGGCTGGCAAAAAAAAAAAAAAAAAGCAACTGTTTCTGATTCTTAAAATAAAGAATGGTATATGCCAATCAGGTGGCACTCACTAATTTTTTTTCTTTTTTAAATCGGTCATGGGGCTTGAATTCTGGGCCTTTGCACTGTCCCTCAGCTCTTCAGCTCAAGGTTAGCGCTCTACCACTTGAGCCACAGCACCTTCTGACTTTTTCTGTTTATGTGATGCTGAGGAATCAAACCCAGGGCCTCATGAATGCAAGGAAAGCACTCTACCACTGAGCTACCTCTTTCCAGCCCTCAATAATTGTTTTCTGAATGAATTGTTGTCCTATAAACTTCCAAAGTGGAAATTTGTTAGATTCCTCCTAACCAGGATTCATTTCCTTTGTCTGACAGTTCCATAATGTACATTATTGATTCAAGGACCCTATTCTGCCATAGTAAAGAGAAGTTGATGTTACTCAAAATAAACCAATTTATTTCTGCCTTCCCAGAATCTGAATCTCAAGAAACAAAAACACTTAACTAAAATAAATAGCTCAGTAGTGTTCTTATCCAAAGCTTGTTTGGGATTTCTATATCTTGCTCCATAAACTCTGAAATTAAACTTCTCCCTGTTGAGTACCAAAGTAATTCTCTATTGTCTACCTGGTTGTAAATGCCTTCACTCAATTTACATTTGTGTAAGTTAACTGGAATTATTTTGTACTGCTTTAAACCAAAGTACATGAAATATGGCACAATGGTCAAAAGCGAGTCTGCCTATAAATTCTGCCTTTAATTTCTGCCAATGTGATCCTGACTACCATGAGGATAGGATAAAATGAATGTATAAAAAGTACAGAACAAAGCCCAACACATAATGATCAACATGAGGTGTTTATTTATTTTTGTTACAAGATCCTCTGCACTTGAGGCCTTTATTACTATTTAATGGTACTGGGATTGAACCCAGGGCTTTCTATACTAGGCAAATGCTCTACCACTAAGCCATGCTTTCAACCCAGTATGAGGTTTTATTATTCCTTTGCTGATAAGACTATCTTTAACAATTTTAATTTTTTGTTTAAAATAAAAACAGCTTTCACTAATACTAATAAAGAAAACACATTATAATTTGAGCTATAGCTTACTAAATTATCTTGGTAAGTCTTATACTAGTTTTAACTTTTTCAAAGTTATTTTTTAATTATTTTAAATAAAGTGATAGTGTAATTGGTAATTATGTTAGATCAGCTGAAAGTTTCTGACATATTTCTGTGGTCTTTCAGAGTCACAATTTGATCCATTTGTATAGATTGTGTGGCAGTTACAAATAAAACAAGTTGACAACCTTTGAGACCTTCTATTTACTTGAGTAATCACTATTTTCAATTACTAAACAATGAAAAATAATGACCCATATTAATCTTGTCTAAAGTATCAGTTAATTGCTGACTTATGAAATTATATTAACCTGTAGCAGATGTATAGAAATCAAATAATATTTCACTAAAAACTGTCTAACAGTATATTTTCAATTTAAGGAATTTTCCAGTTTTTTAATTCAAATCAGTATTTGTATAGATGTTAAGAGAACACTTTCTACTACATATTATTACACAACTCTACAAAAGCCTCCTTAGCCTCCATGAGCAGAAAATAAGATGGTAACTACAATAATGTTCAGGAAAAATATACTGAAACGATATTCTATAGGCACTCCCTATTCATAGAGCTCAATATACATTACTTTGGTATGATATATTCTAGTCTAACATCCTTTGCTTAAAATCAAGGTTGAACTCAAGGAAAATGCAATAGAGAATAATGGAAGGGGTGACATTAATCAATATGCTTTGTACAAATAAACTGAGATGCTGAATTGAAATCATTTTGTATAACTCCTTAAGGACAACTTTTTAAGACTCCAGATATCTTCAGTGAATAAAACCATAGTGAAATAAAGGAGGAGGAGGAGGAGATGGGGAGGAGGGGAGGAAAAGGAAGAGAAGAAGAGAGAGAGGAAGAGGAAGAGACAGAAAACTCAGTTTCATTTCTTTGCATGATATAATTCTGCTTTTCAAAGTAATGATATTATTATCATTAAAGCTTAAAAATTACATACAATATCCTAACCACAAAGATTGTATTGTTGAACTGAATTAAGTACATATTATGTTTTCTTCTTCCCTCTGTGAATTGATTTGAATTATTATTTCTCCTACACTATTTTACTACTAAAATAGTAAAGATTTACTAAGTTCACAAGACTTAGTTTAAAGGAAAATAGCAAGATGCACTACCCTCTAAATCATGTGAACCTCATTTTAAACTAATCTATAAAAATCAAGATTAGAGAAAAAACATGTGCATAGTTATATATGTGTGTGTAGTCTTTGTTTACTTTAAAGCCTTAAGATATTTAAAGTGGGAATAATTTTAAAATAGTATTTGTACACATTTTTTAGAAAGACATGCACTAATAAAAATCATAGCTATACATTTTCCCTTCTTCCTATTTGCTTAAGGAGAATAATGTAAAAACTTCTGTAGACAATTATTCATAGATAAATTTCATAGAAAAAACTTAAGGTAAATTTTACATATTCTTAATTTCCAATTTTGCTGTGTTTTTCATATAAACCCAGACCAAACAATAATTAGAAAACTCAATCTTTTTCTTTGAGAGAGAGAGAGAGAGAGAGAGTGTGTGTGTGTGTGTGTGTGTGTGTGCGTGTGCGTGTGCGTGTGTGTGTGTGTGTGTGTGTGTGTGTGTGTTATCCTTTAGCTTTTTTACTCAGGCTAGTGCTCTATCATGTGAGCCACAGCTCTACTTCTGGATTTTTTTTTTGAGTAGTTTATTGGATATAAGTCTCACAGACATTCCTGCCTGGGCTGGCTTCAAACCATGATCCTCAGATCTCAGACTCCTGAGTTGCTAGAATTACAGGTATGAACCACAAATACCCAGCATAAAACTCAATTTTTACAAATAGATGACATTTTTGGGGGAGGAGGGTTGGTCCTGGGGCTTGAACACTGGGCCTGGGCACTGTTCCTCAGCTCTTCAGCTCAAGGCTAGAGCTCTACCACTTGGGCCACAGCACCACTTCCGGTTTTCTAGGTAGCTTCCAGTTTCCTGAGTAGCTAGGATTACAGGCTTGAGCCACCAGCATGCCCAAACCGATTATATCTTTCTTATCTTTATTTCTTTAGTCATTAATATAAAGCATGCATATTACTTATAAAACCTAAAGGTATGATGTTAATGTGTATATACATATACATAATATTTACAATCACTTAGTAATTTCCAGACAATCTTCAATCTAAAAACATTTTATTCTGAAGGAAAATACATAATTATCAATCATATCAACCTTTGCTTTAGTTAAAAAAGAAATTATAGGGACTGGAAAGGTGGCTCAGTGGTAGAGTGCTAGCTTTGAGCTGAAGAGCTGAGGGACACATCCAGGCCCAGAGTTCAGGCCCCATTACCAACAAAAAAAGAAATTATAGCAGCCATTATGGAAATCAGTATGAAGGTCCTTTTAAAAATTAAAAATAATTGGGCACTGGTGGCTCACGCCTGTAATCTTAGCTACTGAGGACCGGAGGACTGCGGTTCAAAGCCAACCCAGGCAGGAAAGTCCATGAGATTCTTATCTCCAGTTAATCAACAAAAACCAGAAGTGACCCTGTCATTCTAGCCTTGAGTAAAAAGAGCTTGGGGGACAGAGCCCAGTCCCTGAGTTCAAGCCTCATGACCAATTAAAAAAAAAAACACTAAAAATAGAACTGCCATATGATTTTGCTAAACTATACCATTCTGGGGGCCTCTACCCAAAGGAACAGATCAACATACAATAGAGATAGCTGCACACTCATGTTTACAGCAGTACTATTCATAATATCCAAGCTATGGAATCATCTACAGACCCAACAATCAGTAAGTAGACAGAAAGAATGTGATACATATATTCAATGGAGTACTTTTCAGCCATAACAAAAAGTTTGAAATTAAGTTAGTTGCAAGAAAATGGATGGTACTAGAAACTATCATCTTGAGCAAGGTAAGCTCAGAAAGATATCATTTGAACTCCTATGAGAGATCTAGACTTAAAATAATAAGTCATCATCATAATATAGTGTGATTTTAAATAGGGGGCTGTTGGGGGGAAAACAGTAACATGGAGGAAGAAAGAAGACAGAGGTGAGAGGTGAATATGATCAAAAGTACATTATATATGCATGAAAATAGCATAAAGAAATCCATGAGAAAAGAGAGGAACAGAGGGGCTAAGAAAGACATAGAGGGAATAAATTTGATTGAAGTACATTATATGCACTAAGTAAATATCACAAAGAAACCCCTTTGTACATTAATTTACACAAATAAAAATGTGAAAACCTGCTCACTTCAGTAGCACATATACTAAAACTGGAATGATACACAGAATTAGTATGGCCCCTGCACAAGGATGACACACAAATTTGTGAAGCATTCCATATTTCTTTAATGTGGAAAAAAATGAGATCTTTCTTTTACATGTCTTCTGTAAGAAAAAGTGATTTAAAAAAAAAACAAGTAAATACAACTTAAATGCTCCCTAGTACCAAAAAAGAAAAGACAAAAAAATGTGATTTAAAGATGATCTGATAAATTTTTACCTATCAAGCAATATTAGCTTACACAGTTATACAACAGTCATCTATAATTAAAGTATATAAGATATCCATATAGTTAAAACTGAACACAACAGGAAAGATTTTTCTTACTTACCAAATCACAGTGATAGCTAATTTAATATTCTATATTTTTTCTCTAACATGTTTTGATACATTCCTTTTTTGGTAATTACTGTAATCTTTTTTCAAGGATAGGTTTACAGAATAGAGTTTAATAGACAAATCTTTCCATTCATGATAAACATATCTAGAGAAAAACCACCACTTCTACAAGAAAATCAGCTTACTGAATTTCCAGAAGTCAGAGATTTACTAGTACTTAAGTGCTTACCTATAGGAAATGAGACGATGGATTTTTTTTCAGTAGTAGAGTTTGGATTTGAACTCAGGTCTTTTTAAGCAATCACTCTACCACTTGACCCTGCCAAGCCCCATTTTTGCCTTAGTTACTTTTCAATTAGGGTCTCAAATTTTTGCTCAAGGCCAGCTTCAAACTATGGTCCTCCTACCTATGGATGGCCTCCAATGTAGATAGGATCACATGCACACTAAACACCTAGTTTATTTGTTGAAAAGGAATCTAACCAATTATTTGCTTGAGCTGAACTTGAACTGTGATCCTCCTGATCTCCATCTTCCAAGTTATATAAGATTACAAACATGAGCCTCTATAACCAGCCTATCATGGACTTCTTTTAAAAGTTTCGTGCTGGGTGTGGTGGCTCATGCCCGTCATTCTAACTACCTGGGAGGCTAAGATCAGGGGGCTTGCTGTTGAGGTTTGCTTAGGCAAAAAGTTTGAAAGATCTCATCTCAACTGAAAAAAATCTAAGTGTAACTGTGCATACTTGTCAGACTAGTGTAAGAAGAGTAACTAGGAAGATCTTGGTCCAGGTCAGCCAGAGCAAAGAGTGAGACTATTATCAAGTGTATCAAGTAACAGACAGTCTGCCTACAGGTATGAAGCCCTGAGTTCAAAATGAGGCCCCACCTTTACATTACTATAGTTGTTAACTTATTTCCTGTCTTGCCCATAAAGACAAATATTATAAAAGGATAATATACCACTTAGAATAAACTAAGATTAAATTTAAATAATGAAAAGATGATACAATTTATATAATAAAATAATAATGAGATAAGAATTACAACCTAAGAAAAAATATACAAAACTATTTAGAATGAAAGAATATTTGTAACTTTTGAATAAAAATGTAAGTATTCTGTCAGAGGATATATAAAACACTGATCAATGCACAAAATTATTTTAATGAACAGTAATATAAATGCTTTGAACTGCCAGAAAAATTATAACTATAACTCAAATAGCATTTAAGCTAAGATTCATAATAACAAAAACTTGGAAAGTAACCAAACACTAGGATAAGTGTACTGTATTCCCATGTTTTTTAAGGTTATAATATCTGTTTAATGAAATTTTAAGCTGGAATAAAATAAAACATGTTTTATGTTGGTGTTGATCTTTAACTTGTAGTCCTATCTCCCTGGTCAAAGGGCATATTATTCAATTTCACTATATTTTGTGTAAAACCATTGTAGCGTTGAAGATGACTTTCTGTACAAATGTCACAGTACTTAAAGCTAAACTGGAATCTAGTTTTTCAGCTTCTTAATTAAAATTGCAGTTTAAAATAGTCTGACAATATTATCTTTACTCTTTCCAGTTGAACAGCAACAGAATTTTCACATCTTTTATTCAATCAAGCTTAACAGCAATCTTCTATGAACTCTTTTATTTTTTGATGCACCAAAACAATTCAAAGAAGCAAAATATCTATGCCATAGGAGTGTTCTGTTATTTCTTACTCTATATATATATATATATATATATATATATATATATATATATAATATGGCATGCTCAAAAATTAATTTTACTTGTGTTACTCCAGAGAATGAAGACTGCATAGCACAAACCCATACAAGAAGCCTTCTGAAGATTTAAGTAGATATAGAAGAATTTTGTTCAATCAAAATCACAGAAAAAAATCTTTCTAAATCAAAAAGAGTTACAAAAGGAGATTATTAAAGAAAATATTTTATAAAATGTTATACTGTAAAAAGCAGAAATATTAATTTATATATAAAGTAAGAAATAAATACTTGTTGAACAATAAATAATAAATACCATATCCTAAGTGTAGAACTCTAAAGAATACCATGAAATGCCACTATATATTTTTTCAATCTATAATAACTACATGTATACATAAATACCTAGAAAAATCATTAGATTTTAGAACTCATTTTACAATATGTAAGATTATGAAAACTGCAAATAAATTTGTAAAATAATTCACCTAAACTATACTGTACTCGAAATTATGGTAGGCCTTTAGATGATATAGCAATATCCAGTCTAAACTATTTATGTTATTGTTTTTGAAACCAATGTCAGATTTAAAATCACAATATTTCAATAGATCTTATATATACTTAGCCAAGTGGGTAATTAATATATATATATAGTAATTTCCTTACCATTTCACTCACTTTCTTCTGTAAAGAATATTCAGAAACCTTGAAAAATGAAGAAAGAAAATCTCATTAAAAGTCATTATTGGGCTGGAAAGATGGCTCAGTGGTAGAATGCTTGTCTTGCATGCATGAGGCCCTGGGTTCCATTCCTCAGAGCCACATAAGCAGAAAAAGCCAGAAGTGGCACCGTGGTTCAAGTGGTAGAGTGCTAGCCTTGAGCTTAAATACTGAGGGACAGCACCCAGGCCCAGAGTTCAGATCCCACGACTGACAAAAAAAAAGTCATTATTACAAACTCCTTTGGAGTTTAAAATTGTATGATACTTGATATTTGTTTTCTATGCATATTTGTTTTCAATGCACAATTTTAGATGTTTCTAAGTAGTTGTAGAAAGGTGTCAATTCCATAAGTCAGATTATGAGTACAATGCATCTTGGACAAGATCACTCTTTCCATTATTCTTCCCCATTTTTCCCCTTATGCTCAAGTTATGTAGTTCAGTTTTTACATAATGTACATTGAATATGACTGCATTTACTCACCCTTTCTCCTTCCATTTGTGTGCCCTCCTCTTCAAACATGAAATTTTTACTTTTTTCAAAAGCTTATTTACAATAAAATTTTCTTTGTAACAAAAACAATATATTCACTAATTTGCTTAATGTGTATTTATAGCACCTACTATATATACTAGACATTTTTCCTAGGCTCTTGGGATACAGCAATGTACAAAACAAGTCACTGCCCTTCTGAAGAATTTTTCCCAGCAGGAGTGGTAGTAGACTATAAGTAACATAAGCACAATATAAATAATATATGTTTGAGTGATAAATACTAAGACAAAAATTAAAAAGTGGGATAGAGAAAACAGACTAAGAGAATTTCCTGTGTCATATTAGCTCTTCACTGAAGAAAATTTGAAGGAACAGATAAGGATAGGAATGAAAGTTATTATAAATAAATCATCTCACAATCCAAAGATAAATAATTAATACTTTTGTACTTTCAATTCTTCTTTGTATTTATGCTTTTAAAAAGAGCCAGGGGCCTGTGAATGTGGCTTAGTGGTAGAGTGCTTGCCTTGCATGCATGAAGACCTGAGTTCAATTCCTCAGTACCACATACACAGAAAAAGCCAGAAGTAGTACTATAGCTCAAGTGGTAGAGTGCAAAAGATTCTTTTGAGCAAAAGAATCCTAGGGACAGTGCCCAAGCCCTGAGTTCAATCCCCAGGACTGGCAAGAAGAAGAAGAAGAGCCAGGAATGTGGAGCACCAGTGACTCACACCTGTAATCCTAGCTGCTCAAGAGGCTGAGATCTGAGGATTGTGATTCAAAGCCAGCCTGGAAAGGAAAGTCAGTGAGATTCTTTTCTCCAATTAACCACCAAAAAGCCAAAAGTGAAACTATGGCTTAAGTAGTCAAGCACTAGCATTGGGCAGGAGGTGAGGGCTCAAGAACAAAACCTAGGCCCTGAGTTCAAGCCCAAAGATCTGAACACACACAAAAAAGGAAGGAGTAACTTTCAAAACTTTTTGAAGGCACTGTTCAAACCATATCACTTTTGCATTTTATGTTTACTAAATCCACAGCTATCTTTTATTAACATTTCTAAAGCACTGTCCAGTTGTAGCTTAAGTTTGAAAGTAATATAATTACATTGACATACAATCTTTTTTATGGATGATTATACACACACACACACACACACACACATGCAGTTATGGAGTTTGAACTTCCTAAGCCCACACTACTAGTAAGTCACACTCCTAGTACTTTATTTTACTTTATTTTTTGGATAGGATCTTTTGTCTTTGCCCTAGGAAGGCCTTGGACTAAAATCGTGTTACCTATGGTCTCCCAAGTAACTAGGATCACAGACGTGATTCTCCAAACCTAGCTTATTGGTTGAGATGGGTTCTCAACAATTTTTTTTTTGGGGGGTGGCCTAGATGAAATCCTCTCAATCTCTGCCACTGGACTAGCTTGAATTAAAGAAACGGGTCACCATGACCAGCTAGATAGTACACTTAATGTTTGCTTTTTAACTCAAAAATATCACATAATAATTGATTAACAGCACCAGATATCGATGGCTATGTAGTATAGAAAGCTGATACTAATTAGTGAACTAACCATAAAAGGCAATTACAAATATGACACATAAATTCTATAGTTATGATAGGCACCAGTGGCTAGGCATCTAGCTACTATAGTTATTATGTTACAGAAATTTTTTAATTGGCTAAATAGCACACTTATTTAAGGAAACTATTTTCCTATTCATTTTCAGGGTTATGAAAGTTGGAAAAAGAGGCCCAAAAGCATTTCATCCTTTCCTTTTCCTGGCCAATTCAGTCCAGTTCAGGCAGAACAAAGTAGGGGTCTATGAAGAAGTGAAAAATGAGTTATGACTGGATCATTCTGGAAGAGAGTATATCAGCCTGGGTGAGTAGAAGAGGATTCCCTACAGGAGAAAAGGACAGTTCATTGTGGAGGGTCAGGATGGAGCCAGAAATATGATTCAGTAGCACATATGAGGCCTAGGGTTCAATCCTCAAAAAGAAAGGAAAAAAAACTGAGGAGGCTGAGGAGGATGACCCTGTAAAAGTGCAACCCAACTAAACGTATTATAATTACATAATTATAGGAAGAAATCATAGGAAGGATGGACAGTGTGTTGGTCAAAGAATGACATACATGGTGATTTTACAACTAGGTAAAAATATAAGCAATAAAAGATTTTTCACTAAAATGGAAAGAAAGGTATCAATTCAAGAAAAAATAAACTAAAATGATGTTTATGATTTGAGACTAGAATTGGACATGGCATGAATTAGTGGTTTTCAAAATACATACAAGGCTGGGAAGGTGGCTCAGTGATAGAGGGCTTGCCTTGCAGGCATGAGGCCCTGGGTTCGATTCCTCAGCACCACATAAGCAAAAAGAAAAAAAGCCGGAAGTGGCACTGTGGCTCAAGTGGTAGAGCGCTAGCCTTGA